TTGCAGGGCAGCAGAAAGAACCCAACACTAAAAGTTATGAGGCCTGAGTTCCAGTCCAGTCTTTGTGGTTTATTAGTACTTATATGATCTTGGGCAAATTAATCTTTTCTAGGTCTTCACTTTCTTTACCTTTAAGTGAGCATATTAGACCAAAATATTGTATGTTCTCACCAGCTTTAAAATTCCATGATTCTTTAATTTCTAGCTCTGGAATTGAATATATGTGTGTGTGTGTGTGTGTGTGTGTGTGTGTGTGTGTGTAAAATAAATTGAGAGGTTCAGTCATGCTCTTAAAGATTTATATCCTTGAAAGTGGAGTACCAGTTTTGAAACTTGCATTATTTTGTTTGGTGCTCCTTGGGAGCTTAGGTTTTAGAGTTGAGGCCAGAAACCTTTTTTTTTTTCAAGTCTCCAGCAGAATGCTATCCATGGAAACTTTCTGCAGGATTCTGTGTTTGGGCCGTCCATTTTGGTTGCCACTAGCCACAGGTGGCGCTTGAACAACTGGATTATTAATTTTATTGAATTGTAATTAAGTTAAATTTAAATTGTGACTCATGGCTCCCTATAGGGCAGCAGAGCAGCACAGCTCCTGTGTGTGTGTGTGTATGCGCACGCGTGCGTGTGTACGTACATGTGTGTACGTATGTGTGTGTGCGCGTGCGCATGTGTGCTAAGTTAGGAGTGGCATGGCAGTAAGTAGAGGAGAGTGAGAGACCATTGTTTTGGATGATGGGATACTGCCCATACTTCACTGTTTACGATATATACAGAAAGTGGAATATAACACATTTCAGGAACCATCTTCTACCTTTCTTTTAAAAAAATTTTGCATTCCATTATATGTTATGATAACCATTTAATTTTTAACATTGAGTTATAATTGACATAACCATTTTATATACTAGATAACAGCTTGTTAAAAAAATTGTATGTTTTTCTAATTAAACTATAATTCCAAAGTTAGATATTCCAAGTGTATTAAACATGATGCACTAGTTAAATTTTATTATCTTACCTATCCTTAAAATCTTTTCTTGTATGAATCTATGAGGGGAGTTTATGAGGCATCTGGACTGTGCAGGGAGTTATTCTATATTTCCAGTGATATGGTTTAGAATCATGAGTTTTCTTCTTGCTGTATGACCTTGTGTAAGTTATTTATCTGCTTTGAGCCTCAGCTTCATCATCTGTGAAATAAGGACAATAGCAATACTTACCTTGTATGATTTTTATGAGGATGAGATTAGACGGTGAGTTATGTAAAGCACTAATATTGTCTGGTAACTAAATAATAATAATAAAGATAATGATAATAGCTTGGAGTTTTCTTTTTATCTATAAATTCAGAATCCACCTAATGGATATTTCATGTTTACAATTAATAATATTTTCTAATTAAATTTTATAATTTATCTAATTACATTTTTACTGTTTAATTTTGTAGTTATAAATAGGGCCAATTTTTTGCTCTCATCCTGTTAAAAGGGCAGTAATTGTGTAGTAGTATAAAGGAATGAAGAGAATTAAGATGACTATTGTTCTCTACATTTTTGCAATATATATATCTCTGTAAAAGAGCATTACTTTAGCAGATTATGTTGTAAAATGACATTGTAGTTTGATTATTCATCTTATGTTATTTGTGATTAGATATCTATTAGAATTTGATAAACAATAAATAGTACACAGATAAACCATTGCCATTACCTGTTTAACTACTGAATTCAGTGTCTCCTAATTATTTAATACTATAGTCAATGGATGCAGCTTCTTTTTTATAGTTATATATTCACACATTATATGTAAAGTATTTCATAGCATTGCAGCATTTATCTTATTAAATGTGAAGTTATTTTGATGTTGATAACATTCATTAATTTCATTGACTTTTACTATGTTTATCATCTCCTGATCTAAATACTTTTATTTGTATAAAGGCACAATTCTAAGACTCATTAACTTGTTTCTTATGGAAGTGTTCTCTTTACTTGTAGGGTATTAATACAAGCCATTAAGCTGGAATTTCTTCTGGCAAAAACAATCCTGGCAGATGGCAACTTTTCTCTCTATTAATTTTGGATTGGACATGTACTTTGGCTTGTTCAGTCAGGTCATAGTTGTAACATAACAAGGATCATTCAAGCAAATACAGTAATAATATAGCAATGGTCATGCAGAATATGCAAACTCATATCTCAGCTTATTGTAACTATGAAGACTTCAGCATTTTTAAATTGTAAATAGGAGGGTTATGTAATCTATTAAGGCAGAAGCATAATACTTTATCTGATACATCTTTTAAAGTAATTCCAAGTATATTTAGTCATTTGTGTAAGTGTTTTCACTTGACATTTGAGCATTCGTAGGAATTAGACTACATTGCTAAATTGTCAATTAGATATGTAGTAATGTTAGAGACAACCCCAGTCTTCCCCTTTAAAACATGTAACTTTTGATTTTTGAACCTGGATGTGTGGTAAATGAGCTAATTTCCCACAGAAACATCTTAAATGCATAAATATAGATATAAAAATAAAAGCAGTATGCCTTTTAATCTTTTCTCTCTACTTCTATTTTAAATTATTTTTGTTACAGATGTTTCTCCTTTTTCTCCCACTGATTCCCTCTTCCCCCCTCCCCACCCTGTCCTCAGCTTTGTTGTCCATGTCCATTGTTCATGCATACATGCATATAAGTTCTGTGGTTTATCTCTCCCCACCACCCCCTCTTCTGGGGACTGTCAGTCTGTACCCCACTTTCACGTCTCTGGGACTACCCCATTCCTCAGACTATTATGTTCATTATATTCCACAAATAAGTGAGATCATATGATACCTGTCTTTCTCTGTTTGGCTTGTTTTGCTTAGGATAATACTCTCCAGGCCCCTCCATGTCGTCTCAAAGGATAAGAGATCTTTCTTTCTTACAGCTGCATAGTACTCCATTGTGTATATGTACCACAGCTTTTTTATCCATTTGTCTACTGATGGACACTTGGGCTGTTTCCAGATCTTAGCTATTGTAAATAGTGCTGCTACAAACATGGGGGTACACGTATTCTTTCTGATTGGTGTTTCAGGCTTCTTAGGGTATATTCCTAGAAGTGGGATCACTGGGTCAAATGACAAATCCATTTTTAATTTTTTTGGGTAACACCATGTTGTTTTCCATAGCGGCTGCACCAGTCTGCATTCCCACCAGCAGTGTATTAGAGTCCCCTTTTCTCCACACCCTCGCCAACACTTGTTGTTTGATGATTTGTTGATGGCAGCCATTCTGACAGGTGTGAGGTGATACCTCATTGTTGTTTTAATTTGCATCTCTCTGATGATTAGTGATGTTGAGCATTTCTTCATATGTCTCTTGGCCATTTGTATGTCCTGTTTGGAGAGGTGTCTGTTTAGGTCCTCTGCCCATTTTTTAATTGGATTCTTTGTCTTCTTTTTGTTGAGTTGTATGAGAACTCTATATATTTTGGAAATTAACCCCTTATCTGACATATTTTCTCTCTACTTGAAAAAATAATTATAATAAAAGTCAAAATACATTTGAAATATATTTTTTTGCTAATGTTTTTCTCCATAATATTTTTTGTGAGTCAATAAAACTTTATTGGTACAAGCAGGTATCACACCAGATTAGACCTGTCGGGTGCAGTTGGCCCATGGTCCGTAGTTTGCCAACTCTGTAATTTGGTCTCTATGCTCATTTAATCTTGGCAGCCTCAGGAGATTAGTTGTTGCTCATAGGAGGAAAGGAGGCTTGGAGAGTAGGGGAGTTACCTGGTCAGCCTGGGGTCCCTGTGGTACACCCAGGAGCAGGTATATTCAGGTATAGCTGGATTTGTTGGTGGGGAACCAAAGAGGGGAAAAAACAGGTCATGGTCCCTGCCCAGAAGAGCCCCTCGTGTCTTGGGTACATGAAGCACATAGAGTAGAGCCCATACTAACTATTGATGTCTCTGTGTTCTCCTCCATATATACTTGACCTCTTTACTAAATCTGGTATTTTCCAGGAGTCCTCCTGCAGTCAGCTCTTTGAGCACTCATCACATACTTTAACAAAATAATCAGTGTAAATGTGCAGCTCTTCACTTCAACTATTCGCCAGTTGCCTTAAACTTGAGTGGCATTGTCTAAAGATGCTGTTCACGAATAATGTATGGAACACCTGGCAATTAGCATTTTGTTGATTCCCTTTTAGCTTGCTATTACCAGAAAATAATTCCCCTTTTATAGTAGAGAGCCTCAATATCAGAAGGTAAGAAAAGCGAAACCCATTTTCAGTGTCAGTATAATTAATGAATCACCTTCACTTGAAAAGAAACCCTTATATTTACTCCATCATGCATGCACATTAGTATGGTATCACAGTGCCTTCTAGTTGATCGTAATTCACTTAATTCATTTTTATACATAAGCAATTAATTCATCTTAATCATATATATTAATACTCTAAATTTTGTGCAAATCCATCCCAATAATAGGATAGAAAGAGTATAAAGCAATGTAATGATTTCTCTACATTATCACTGTTGCCTGTTTAATATCTTGGACTTTTATAACTTTATTTGATTTATTTTAGATAAGTGTTTATGACCATATAATATCGAAACTAGGTTTACTCTAAGGATAGCTGGATCAGTTTATGATCTTTTGAAAGGGCTCGCTATGCATACTTTTGGAACTGTGAGTTTCTCAAGAGAGAGTTTAAAATTCCTTCATGTTGTTTAACAAAGCATAGAAGTACTTCACCATCCATCATATCTTCATTGGAATTATTCTGCACATTAGAAATTTTATTATTCACTTTGTTGTTTATCCTTTGAAATCATAATCATCCTTAAACTTGTATAAATATTTGTGTTTCTTCTTAACTTAATAATATATGTTTGTATGCCTTTTGTAAATGGAAACATAGTGGTCTGAATGCATTATTTAAATATTTCTTTAATTAAAAAACATTTTTTAAAAATAAGGTTTGCTTTCTAATTGCAGGTGGCCTGCATGCAGTTTATAAATGCCCTTGTCACTTCTCCTTATGAGCTTGATTTTCGAATACATTTAAGGAATGAATTCCTCCGTTCAGGACTAAAGACAATGTTACCAGTAAGTTGAGTGTATCCATTTATTATGCTGATGAACTTTAACATCATTTTTTCTTTAGACACAGGTGCTTGCAACAGAGTAAATAAATGTGCCTTTCTATTTTCTTTTGCAAAGCATTCAACATTTTGTAAGCTTTTTTATATTATAGTAATATCAGTCTTCACATACATCTGATGATTCAGAACGTAACTGGTGATATGTCCAGAAGTGCTTTTTTTCTTCCTGAGGTCAAAAGGGAACTTCTTTTCTTTTAATGTAAATACAAGAACATAAAAGAATACTTTTTTTTGGTAGTTTCAATTTTTCATTTACAATTGTTTGCTTTTTTTCTTTGATAACTTCAATTGATTTTATTTCCATTCAGCATAAGTATGCATAGAATTTTGATTAGTATATTCTGGACACATTACCCAAGATTGGTATTCTTGTTACACTGCTGTGGGAACTTTTCTAAAGAGAAACAGTTTTATTTCTTGAATGTGAACATTTGCTCTAATTATGATACTGTTAAAAAACATTTTTGAAACAACTTTATAGGCTTGATCAGAACTAAATGAGCATACTTATTCTCTGAATACAAATACAATGACTGTGACTTTATATTTTATTTAGCATGTTAACTGAAGAGGGATTCGCCCCACCCACCCAAACCATAGCAGTGTTAAAGGAGACACATAAAATCTCACTAATCTCTTTATTTAAAAAAAATTTTTTTTTTTTTTATTGATTTCAGAGAGAGAGGAAGGGAGAGGGAGAGAGAGATAGAAATATCGATTGGCCGCCTCCTGCACGCCCCCCACTGGGGATCGGGCCCACAACTTGGTCATGTGCCCTGACCAGGAATCGAACCGGCGACCTCTTGGTGCATGGGTTGACGCTCAACCACTGAGCCACACTGGCTGGGCTCATTTTAATTTATTTAAGTCCCCATCTTTTCAGAAAGAAGTATGTACCATAGCTCTTGCACTTACCTTTTGCACTTTTGTCTGGGTGTCTCAATTTCTGCTGGGTTCAGTGGTCTCCTGCTATGTTCTTCTTTTAATTGCGGTGACAGCTAAGATTTTGCATCCATGTTTCTAAGCTGAACTTTCCCATTGGCCCTATAGCCGTATAAAAAGCCTCTTGTGGCACCATGTACTTCTTAATATATGTATTGTTAAAATATTCTTCCAGTTACATTTTTTTTTCTTTAAGTATCACATCTTTTTAATATGCCCTGCTTCTCAGATCTCGGTGATTCCGAAGCAGGAGAAATGTGAAAAGTGTCATGTTTTTGCTTCCTAATGTTTTGGAATGGAATCTACAAGGATTCTCAATGTCTTTTCCTTCCCTAAAACAATGGAGTGAAATATGGCAAAGCATGGCTCTGGTTCTCAACCAAGACATTGGTCATGTGCCCCTAAGAAGAAACTATCAAGATCTTATTGAGTGTAGGGAAGAGACGTTTGATTTGTAAAAATCATTCCCAAGCATTTCTGATGTAGAGGATGAGTATCTGAATTCAGGCAGACCCCGAGATTACAGATTCATTCTTTAGTCATGTAGATTTCACTGTTGCTGCGACTGTTCTTCAAGTTTTGTTATCAAAATATGGAGCAAGGGGCAAATTGATCACACTTAAATGTATACTTGATGTACCTAATATGTCAACTATCTTATTAACTCATTATTAATTTAGTAAACGTTTACATTTAAACCACTAGAATTTGTAGTAACATTAAACATCTTTTACGTATGTAATGAAACTTAATATAATAATAGATGCCTTTAAAATCCTTACTTTTTCCTATTCTTATTTTATATCCCATTCTAATAAAAGAATCTCCCTAATTTTCAAGAATATAGCAGCCAATTAGACGTGGCCATGGCTAATATTAGTAGTTGGTATATGAATCAAAAATTATTACTATCTGGCATCGTTAAGTGATAAGGAAGAATAGTTCTTAGTATTTCAGTAACTCCTGAGACCATCATAATATTATAGGAGAGCAAAACTTTTTTTTCATATGATTATCAGACTCCTCAAGGACAATTATTTAAATTATATTGTGTAAAAATTTCATTTCAAAATTTCCCCATCTCTATGGATAAATTACAGTGTTTAAAGGGAGCTTATATTTCATTTATGTGGAAAATTGACTTTTCATAAATTTGCTTTAGCAATTTGGAGTAAATGAATCGTTACATACTGTACAATGATTTTTAAAATAGTACTTGCTCTGTAGTTAACTTACATTGATATTTTTTTTTTATGAAGTGTCCATCTGCCTTTTGTTTAGTTAAATAAAGTAGGAAAATACTAGGTAAATCATATATGAGAAGGAACATGATAGTAAGAAGTTGTGTTTGTAGGCAGCAGGCATTCTTAATCTCTTTTAAAGGACTGAAACCAACCCTTATTCTTTTGAAAACTCAAACTTGATTACTTGACTAGTAATCAGTCATGTATTGGTAATAGACTTTGATTTCTTTAGAAGTACACTATATTTAGATAATTATATGTTACAGAGAATCTGCCTAAAATGTTCCATATCTATGTAGCAAGTCTGTTTAAAAAAATAACTGAAATATGTTTATAGTAGTTTACACAATGAGTAATAGTGTAATTAAGTAATTTTATAATATTCTACATTTTTATTTTATTTTTTTGTTTTTATTGAATTTATTGGGGTGAGTGGTTAACAAAATTATACAGGTTTCACATATATAATTCTACAACACATCATCTGATATTCTACATTTTTAAACATAAAACCTTAGTTATGCATTTTTATTTATTTTTATAGGGTATCTGTCACATTTGTGATATATAAAAACATTAATTTCTTAAATTATTTTATCAAGAATTTATGGATATTTCTTTGGAAGTTGGACATTTGACTTGAAGGAATTTATATATGTGTGTGTATAAATTAAACACTTCAGCTATTTTTACTGAAAATATTTTTCTTAATCATATTTATTTTTAAATTAAATTTATTTGCATGACATTGGTTATTTACTGAAAATATGTTTATGATGAATATTGATTCCATGTTTTATAAAATGCTGATGCTAATTAAATGGCAGTATTTAACTTGGATTTTTCAAACACATTTGAATGTGTTCAAGTTTTGTAGTGAGCATTTAAGGAGAAATAGAATGTGACATAAAGATAACATATGGGCCCTGGCCGGTTTGGCTCAGTGGTTGAGCGTCGGCCTGCGGACCAGAGAGTCCCAGGTTCGCTTCCTGCTAGGGGCACGTACCAAAAAAAAAAAAAAAAAGAATATATGATTTATATTCTAAAATGTGTTAAAGGTTGTTTCTGCAGTGACCAGCATATTAGATAGGTCTGGCTTCTGCTGTTTTCTGAGCAGAGTACAGAAATTACCTGATAATATGACCCACCACTGTTAGACAATTTTGCATTCCAATGAGTTTCTTCATTCCCCTTCAAAGTGGAAAACTGGACCTAAAACAAGTTATCACTAAAGAGGAAGCGGGTATAAATACATTTATTTGTTATATAGTTATATGAAATTATTTAGGTATATATTAATACATATTTTCATATGCTATTTAGGTAAATTTTCAGTTAATCATTACGTTTGAGAATGTTAGGAAAAGAACATCTAGAAATTGAATCAATTTGTGTTTGGCTTCAGTTTCACCATTACATCTCCATTTATAATTACTCTGTTGAATAAAAATAGAAACAAGAAATGCATCCTATTTTGTTTCATTGACCTAATTTGAAGTACACCATGCTTACATTTCCTTTTAGAGTTCAAGCTCAACTCTGAAAATCCTAGTCCCACTTTCGGTATCACCCTTGAGCATCCACAGTTGTGATTATCCATTTGGGTTTTGAAAGCTGCAACTTAATGGACACATATTAAAAGATATCCCAGGTGATATATATTAAGCCCAACAATCTCTAGTGTGGCATGCCTCCAAAGATTTTGTTTCTATTACTATTTTGAAAATTATCAGAGGTTTGTAATGCATGTCCTTCGAATGTATTACAAAAACAAATCTTTGATGCCCAAGTTGGTATTTTGTGATTAGGCTAAGCAAAAATGAAAGGCGGGGGAGGAGGCTAGATATGCAGCCTGATAAAAAGTCCTGATATCTTTTTGCTTCAAATCACAAAATATCATTTAAAATAAATTTGGTTCTTCAACTTTTCACGCCATACTTGGGACTGTTGTGCTTGAGTATATCCTTGTGTTTGTTCTTTATTAATACAATTTATCTATATTTGCATTTTTTGCCAGAGGCATATGTGAATGTTCTAAGTGCATGAGTTCTTTTGAAATCTTTGATTAGTGTGTTTAGTCAAAGGAACAGCATTTAATTTGGGTTTTTAGCAATTAGCTTTTTTTTTCCTTTGTAAAAGTGATTGTTAATTTTTTAATGTAAATAATCAAAATCTGGGGCATGAAAAGAAAACGCAGTGAATGCAATCAGATTCTTTTATTTTAAAAGAGAAGAACATAGTCCATTTGCTTTCTTTCAGGAAACCAAGTGCGTGGGTCAATATTTGAAATTGCTTCTGTGTACATAAATGAATAATTGTGTCTGGCCTTTATTACCAAAATATGCTCTTGTCAAACTGTTATTCATCTGTTAAGTTTTATGTTTAAATATTAGGATCTAAAAGAAAAAGAGAATGATGAGCTTGATATTCAGTTGAGAGTATTCGATGAGAACAAAGAGGACGACCTGACTGAGTTATCACATCGTCTCAACGACATTCGAGCAGAAATGGAATATCCTTTTGACAAGCCAGAAAAATCAGTTTGCCTGTATTGTGAAAAAGGGATCTGTGGGTGATATTGTGCACCATTATTAGAGTTCTTGTCTGCAAGCCCAATTTATATCCATTTATTTATATTAGGACCTCACAATGATGCTGTCCTTGAGGCTCATGTTGGGGAGCTGTCAGACTGTCATGATTTACACGGACTATATTGAAATCTGCACAGTGGCGGTATATTCTGCTCAATGGTCTTGTAAAGAAAGAGCCTACGGACATAGACCTCACGCATAAGGATTTGGGGGGAAAAGTTCACTGAGTCTATATGTGGTAATATACTCTCGCCATTTATTAAATGGTACTCAGTGGTTTAGAAATATAATTCAATTCAAATAAATGTCTTCCTCTCAATCCAAATATTTAGGTTCCTTAGCAAAACAAAGAAATGTTTAGACGTAATAGTATGTGACTATAACAAGGTTGTGTGAGAGAAGCATTCGAGTCAAATACAACCGACATTTCATTTTCCAGTGGCAACAATTTAATACGCAATGATTTTCTATCTCAGAGATGGTTGTCCCAGCATTGGTGGCCATTTGTTTTACACCCATGCAATTTCTACTGATGGATTCTAGGGCAACTGGGAAATACTTCAGATCCAACATGACCTTAGAGCTGGACTTTTTCTCTGACGTCTTCTTTCCTCTTCCTCCTTCCCCCTCAAAAAAGCTGGAAGTAGTATGCCCCTTCTTAAAACTCTTAGAGTACTTTGCATTTGTCTTATTTATGTACACTTTTATGCCCCTGTGCTATTGAGGGGAGAGATGTTCTATTTCATCTTTTCTCCCTAATGCTCCTATCGAAGTGTCTTATATCTCAGCACTGGGTAAATAGGTGTGCAACAAATGACAGTTTCATTATTAAAAGGAATGATTTCTCATAATTTTTTATCCATCATTAGTGACTCTAGTCCACAGGATTTCCATAATATTAAGTGCTTTTTATGTCAATTAATAACTCGCTGGCTTTCTTGCTTTATATAGATTTTTCTTATTAAACTTTACCATAAAGCTATTTTTGGATCCATTTTGTAACCACTTAAAGGACCTTATGAGACTTTAATACAACACTCTTATATGGGGTCTAAGGAGTGATCTATCATACACTTAATTCTACTTCAGCAAAAATGTTGACATTTCATGTTATTTTTAGGATGTTGGATTATATCTTCTGTCCTACCTTTCTTTTACATTGATTTTCCTGATCCATTTTTGAAGTCTGTTTTCTAGTTTACTGAAAGCATTTAAACTTCTACCATTCTTTTTATATCCTGAGAAAAATGTTCTAAGTTTCATTCTTTGCTGTCCATCTTTCATAAAATAACGAAATACAAATGAATGCAAACAATAATAATTTCAGATTGTGTTGTGTCTCATCTGCATAAATAAAAATAAGGCCAGTTTTGTGATCTTTAGTCAGTCCACAGAATGCTCATTTGCCTTCTTTCTCTTTTATGTCACAGTGAAAATAGAGAAGTAGGGGCTTTTATGTACGGGATAGGTTCTCCCTCCATCACAACTGCAGGAAGAGCAAGAGAAAACCACTGTCATTAATGGCACCGCTGTTCCAATGGTACCAGCCACAGTCTGGACTTTCGATGCTTAAATGGTCTTGGAAATACTATTTCCCTTGTCAAAATACTAACACCACTCCACAGATTGTATTTCTTTAGGTAAATGTTTAAATACAGGATCATGGAGTTGAAGGTTTAGAAACAGTAATAGGAACAACATGATACATCAGTGAATGAAACTTTCATGAAGAATCTTTGATTTTTTTTTTCCTTGACTGACTTTTCACTGATATGAATGAAGTATACCATCTTCTGTATAATATGTTGAAGGACACAGCTGCTGAAAATTACTTATTATCCATTCTACAACATTTTTTGCTCATCAGAAATGATTATTATATCAGGTAAGAAGCAGTTCTCAGAGACTACTTGTATAATTTGAATGAGATATTAAAGGAAAATTAACAACGGAGTGGTGCCTGGGCAGTCTGTGCATATATGCACACGTACATGTAAGAGCTTGACAACTTAAGGTAACATTTTGTAAATGGTGTTAATTTGTCTTTAATTGGACCAGAAGAATTGACTTACAGAAATGGGGTACCCCAGTGCCAGGGCTTTTAATAGCAATGAACCCCACACAGATTGTATCGACCTCATGATGAATTTTCTTTGCTAGCTAATGGTAACACAGAGTCAATACTGAAGAGTCTGTGGTACAACTTTTAAGTACTTGTTTTAATAAGTAAGATTTTACTGTTATTTCGATTTATAGTATTTAGTAATCAATGAGTTCTTATCAAAGAAAAATAATGCTAATATTTCAGCATTATATTCAGTAATGTAATTCTTCAAAATAAATTATTAAGAGACTAAGCCATAAGATTAGAAGTTTTTGGGTCTAGTAACTGGCAATATATCTGAAAACCAGAAAGTTAGAGAAAGGTTTCCGAGTGACTGAATTTATCCATCAGGTGGTGACCATGATCTTATATTTAACTGTTTAAGAGACTCTTAGCTGTTCTTCGTAGTCAATATGTGTGACATTCTGGCAACCTAGACTTTAACTTCTCAAAACTTGCTTGATTAACCGGGAAAGGAAGGTTACCATAGGGTCAGGCACAGTCGCAGCAACAGTGACAGTTTTAAAGCCACGTAGAAAACTATTCTAGTTCAGACCAGTACAGTTACTGATGGACAGAATGATGTTACAGAGACATAGAAACATGTTTAAAATAGTAAATTTTAAGCTTTTTTTGAAAAGGCAAAATGGTAATACCCTTGAAATGATGGTTGTTTTCTAAGATACGTTCTGGAAGTTAAAGGAGTACTGTGACCGTGTGTATGCAGTTCCCCGGGGAAATTGTGCAAAGCCATCCATTTATCAGAAACTTGGATTAAATGAGAACTTACTCTAATATGACATCCTTTTCATCCTGAGAACATCCATGTGACGTAGAAGTGTGACAAGCACTTACATTCTACTTAGAGATAATTAGCCTGTCCTCAAATAACACAATTATATTTTTCTTTTTTACCCCAGTCATTGACCAGATGTATTATAATCCAGTGTTGTCATTGTTATTATTATTTTTAAATGGTTTTCTTTTCATGGTTTCTTTTCTTTTCTTTTCTTTTTTAGAGAGAAAGAGGAAAGGAGAGATAGAAACATCACTGAGAGAGAAACAACGATTGGCTGCCTCCTGCATGCCCCCTACTGGGGATCGAGCCCAAAACCGCGGGCATGTGCCCTGACTGGGAATCGAACCAGGACCTTTCAGTCCACGGGACAATGCTCAACTCACTGAGCCACACCGGCTGGGCATAATCTATTATTTACCCTAGACCTGGTGATACGTGAAAGAGCGTCAAATGTATAACATACAGCGGTGGGCAAAAGTGGGTTTACAGTTGTGAGTACATGAAACTGAGTTTATTCTTGTATTACTATTTATTAATTATTTACTACAACTGTTGCCTACTGTCTGCCCCTGTATATTACTATTTATTCCTTTTTTTTTTTTTTTAAAGTAAGGAGATTTAAAAAAATATGTTTTTATTTATTTTTTAGAGATAGAGGAAGGGAGAGATAGAAACATCAATGAAAGAGAAATAACGATCGGCTGCCTCCTGCACGCCCCTTACTGGGTATGGAGCCCGCAACCCGGGCAAGTGCCCTGACCTGGAATCTCAGGCCATGGGATGACACTCAACCACTGAGCCATGCCAGCAGGGCTACTATTTATTCTTATTCTTGAGAACAGCCCTATGCCAAAGGACATACAAGAGCAATTAGAATCTGTTAGGCTTCATTGGCAAACTTTTAGGAGGTTGGCTAGTTACTAGCATACAATTTTAGGGATGTTTATGTCATAATTTATCTATAGTAATATTTCTTTCTGATTTTTCTGTTAAATTTATTAGCCAATGATCAATACTCAGTTATCCCCAAATATTACTGCAAAAAGTGTCTTTAAAAATTTTTTTTTAATCCTCACCGAGGACATTGTTCAGTTTTTTGTTCAGATAGAGTGGGAGGGAGAGAGGGAGAAAGAGAGAGAAAGAAACATCAACGTGAAAGGGACACACCGACTGGCTGCCACCCATACAACCCCACTGGGGCCGGGGACAAACTGCAACCGAGGTACGCGTGCCCTTAGCGGGAACCGAACCCAGGTCTCTGTGAACCGCAGGCTGACGCTCTAACTGCTGAGCCAGACCGGCCAGGGCGGAAATTTTTAGAAGTATGCACGTGGTCATTTTTAGGCCAGAATTACCTTGGTAGATTACAGAATTAGTAGATGTTTTAAAACCTTAGACACTTTGAACAAATTGAGGCTCTAGCCATGCATGCATATTAAGGGGGTATGCATCTATAAAATGATCTTTTAAAATACGTGCGTAAGTAGATCTTTGGGATGGTCCATAGCATAAGTGGCTCAGTCCAGTTTTGGAAGTTGTTCTAGCTAATCTTGAGAGAAAGTATTGGAGTAAACCCAACACACTGCTTGCCACCTAATGCCACCCAGTGCCAAGATTCGCATCCCTCATTGAAATTGAGATCATGGAGAGGCTGGGAACTATTTTTGTATCTATGGATGTAGAACTACCAGGTCATTTGTTTTCATTAACTTTAGGAACAACAGTGTAAGTTTAAGTAGATAAGGTTGAGAAGTATCTTTGTACCCAGCATGAATCTTGGCAAACTAGAGTACTAATTAAGTCACTAAATATTCACAGTTGATTGCATCACAATGGGTTTCCCACTATAACGTCCAGACCATCTTTATTTTATTTTTTCATGCCTGTCGGGGAAGAAGAGGGGAAGGGAAAGTTACAGGCTCATTCCAGTGTATGCTGGGACCTTTATTGGTATTTTTGTGTGTGTGTGTGTGTGTGTGTGTGAGGGGGCATTATTTATTTATTTATTTAATCTTTATTGTTGAGAGCATCCCAGGCCTTCACCTGACCATGTTAAAATTTTTTTTCTTTATTGATTTTAGAGAAGAAGGGAGAGGGAGACAGAGATAGAAACATCGGTGAGAGAGAGCATCAATTGGCCGCCTCCTGCATGCCCCACCCCCCCACTGGGGATCAGGCCCACAACCTGGGCATGTGCCCTGACCGGGAATCGAACCGGCGACCTCTGGGTGCATGGGTCGACGCTCAACCACTGAGCCACACCGGCCGGGCAAACCTGACCATGTTTAAACGTAGCCATATTTTTTCTAAGGGAGTATAATGCCTGGAAAGTTTTTTCTTTTTTTTTTAAACAGTGCTAGAAAAATACTTAGTTCTGTTATCACGCTGAATCAGCTCTTAAGAAAATTGATTTGTATAGGTAGAAAAGGTATTTAAGAAGACTCTTTCTCTTTTGCAGGCCACAGTATTACAAAATAATTGAGGAGTGTGTTTCCCAGATAGTGCTGCACTGCAGTGGCATGGACCCAGATTTCAAGTACAGACAAAGATTAGACATCGATTTAACTCATCTGATAGGTATGCAGACTAATCCTCAGCATCCTTTGATTGTGTTTTCGTGCCTTCTGTCTGATAAGCACTTTTTAAGGATAGCTCTCTTACTGAACTTCCTCTATTAATATCTGATAAATCACTGTGTCTGTGGGTACTCAATCACTGTAATTGTTAATTATGATGATCATGAGAGTTCTGCCTGTGTGATTGAAAATATGGACCTATTTGATAGGTTTGAACACTCTTGAATTCAGGCTAAAATTAATACCCCACGTAAAAACATTGTATTATTATAGATGAATGCCTTGCTGCTTAGAAATATGACTCTGAAATCCTCCAATTCAGTTTATGCTGGTACCTTAATGACTTTACAGAAATCATGTGTACAATAGGGTCTACTTGGTAGTATAGCTATGTTATTCATGTTCAAGTTTGAGAAAAGAAATACAGAGTTATTTCAGCAATTTAAGACTTTTTAATTCTATCCAAGTAGAACAATTTATATTTCATAGACCTTAGAGCTAGAAAAGAATTTCAGAAGATCATGTTCATCTACTTGGATTGCTGAGGAAATGCCCTTATATCATCTTATACTCATAATTAGCTATACTTTCTGGAACAATCGCTGGATTAAATGAAGACCTTTCTTGTGAAATATGCTGTGCTATCTGACCTTATAGTTAAGCACTTTTATACCTGATCGAAATCACTATTGCTAAGATTCAAGCATGAACTCATTTGTCTTGTCTTTAAAGGAAGAAAACAACTGCTGTTGAATGCCAATTATATGTTATTCTTCACTCCATAGCACAGAGCAGACTCAAAGTAATATTCAGAGATGAATTCCTTCTTATTATTTATTACATGTTATTCTTTTTAAAAATTTACTGAGAAAGAGAGAGAGAGAAACATTGATTTGTTGTTACACTTATTTATGCATTTATTGGTTGCTTCTTGTATATGCCCTGACTGGGGATTGAACCTACAACCTTGCCATATTGGGATGTGATGCTCTAACCCACTAACCTACCCAGCCAGGGCTGTTGTTTTAAAACTCCTGCTCCCTTATTCTAGGCAATCTAGAGACTTCTGTGACAGAATAAATCACCAACCTCACTTTTCTCTTCAATACATTTTCTCTGTCTCTCTCTCTCTGTCTCTCTCTCTCTCTCTGCCTGCGTCTCTGCGGAATTTTTATGGACCATTTGTATTACAAGAATTCTTCCATGCTAATGCTAACCTTTAAAAGGGGACTTTGATACTTTTTCCATGTTAACCTTTAAAATGTGACTTTGAATGTCTGTATAACATCCCATTTTATGGAATACCATATCGTCTTGACTTGTTTCCTATTTCTAGAATGTTTTCACAATTTAAAATGAATCTCATGTGAACGTTATTTGTATAAATGTTTGGCTTTTTCTTTTTATTTCCTTAGGATTGATTTCTGTAAGTGAAGGTATGAATTTTGAAGGCTAAATGCTTTTTACCTTTTCTGGAAATTACTGTGAATGCTAGTGTCCCTGCATATTTTTCATTGAGCTTGATAAACTCAGTAATTGATTTCATATTTTGTTGAGAGAGTTATAGGACACTATTTCCAAATATTTGTGTTGGCTTATAATCTATAATAGGCCGTCGCTGGCACACATGCTGTACTGTTGATTTTGGCCAGCTCATTCAGTGTTCACAGACAGTTGTTCTGTGTACTGGGTTGGGGACAGATGAAGGGATCAAGTGACAGAGGATAGTCAGCATTATAGACACATTATTACCTGAACAAATCACTTACCTTTTCTAGGCTTCAGTTTCCTCACTGTCTACATTTAGAGAAGTCAAATATGTGTGTGGTTCTTAATATTTTATGGTCAGAGGCCTTTTGGAGAAGCTGATCAGTGCTGTGGAACACGCACACATGCACATTCACAAACATCTGCAGGTGCTTCAAGGGCTTCTAGGAAATCTCTGAATCTCTATTTTAAGACCACCTGGATTTGAGCATAGAATCTCTTCTGATTTCACAATTGTGTAGATCTTGTATTGAAAAAAAAAATTTCTTTTTCTTTATTGAGTTTTAGAGAGAGAGGAAAGGAGAGGAAGAGAGAGATAGAAACATCAGTGAGAGAGAACATGGACTGGCCGCCTCCTGCATGCCCCCCACTGGGGATCGGGCCCACAACCTGGGCACGTGCCCTGACCGGGAATTGAACCAGTGACCTCTTGGTGCATGGGTCGACGCTCAACCACTGAGCCATACCGGCCAGGCTAGATCTTGTGTTTTTAATAAATTAGATAATATTCCTGCCTAATTTCTGATACCTTCCAATGGAAATTTATGTTATTATTTTTTACTGAAATAATTAATTTTTGGTACAGATGTTTCTCCTTTTCCCCTCATTGACACCGCCATTGCCAGCACAGCACAAATGTGGCCCCTCTTTGAACTCATCCTTTACAGTTTCCTCCTTATTTGCCTTGCTTCAGTCACACGGTTCTTTAACAAAAAAGAAAGAGAAAGCTAAATTTCGATATACTGAGACATGAGAGAAACTACCAGTCTTTAACGTGCACAATTTGATAATTTTGATATTTGTATACCCTTAACACCATCATTACAGTCCATATAATAAACATCTCTACCACTCCCAACAGTTCCTAAATTCTCCTTTGGAGTTTCTCCTTCCCATGGCTCCCCACCTCTCCCCATCCTGAGACAATCACTGATCTGCTTTCTCTTAATATAGATGATTAGGTTCATTTTCTAAAATTTTATGTAACTAGTAACATACATGTACTCTATTTTTGCCTGGCTTCTTTCATTCAGCACAATTATTTTGAGATTCATTTATGTTGTTGTATTATATGTACCAATAGTTCATTTCTTTATATAACTGAGTAGTAGTCCAGTATATGGATATAGTGCAGTTTGTTTATACATTTACTTGTTGATAGACATTTGGGTTCTTTCTAGTTGTAGGCTATTATAAATAAAGTTGCTATAACATATACAAGTCTGGGTGTAGACATATGTTTTTATTTCTTGGGGATAAACAAATAGGTGTGGAATAGCTATATACAGAAGAGACTGTACATATAATAATGAGAGTATTGTCCAAAAGAGGTTCTTCGGCTATTTATATTCTGAAATGTTTGATTAAATGTGAGAAGTTTACTGTTTATTTGCTTATTTACATAATATATCCTGCACCAATCAGAAGTTATTTAAGTGAAATCTTTCTTGAGGAAACCTGAATTAATGAATATTATTGTATCTCTCCTTCTAATTTTATATTAAGGTTCATTTTGAATCTTAATCACCTTAACCATAGATTCTTGGGGGCCTCTCCAAGCATAATAAACTACAAAACTATTTTAAAAGAATTCTATAATTGTAAAGGTTGCAAAATAATTGAATGCCTCTAAAAATGATAACTTAGTCAAATATATATTTAGATACATGGTTTTATGCCTCAACAGTACTATCATTGAATTCAGTTAGTGTGCAAAAGAAAGACAATTCATGGTGGTTTATGTGTTCTGTATAGTCTAGGTCAATGTCCCTTTGATAGCAATTGATATGCAGATGATTGTCTACATAGTAGAATTATGGGGCTGGCAGCCACACTTTGCCTGGAGATCTGATCTTTTTTTTTTGGTCACGAATAGACTCTTGTGTGAACAAGGCAAAAGTTGAAGAAAGTGAACAAAAAGCTGTGGAATTTTCAAAGAAGGTAAGGCTTTTAAAATATTAGCCATAATTGTTAAATCAATAATTGAATCATAATATATATTCCACCCTGTTTCTTTTTAAAAAAATTTTTTTTTCTTTATTGATTTTAGAGAGGAAGGGAGAGGGAGAGAGAGAAACATTGATTGGCTGCCTCCTGCATGCCCCCCACTGGGGATCGCGCCCACAACCTGGGCATGTGCCCTGACCGGGAATCGAACTGGTAACCTCTTGGTGCATGGGTCGACGCTCAACCACTGAGCCACACTGGCTGGGCCGCACCTTGTTTCTTTATGTGAGGCTCTATAAATGTTGTTTCAGTTACATAATACTTCATTTTTCTGGATTCAAACATAACCAGAGAATATTGATGATAAGATACGGTTGCTACTGTTCCCTCCTCATCACCCGTAATCCATTATGGAAGAAAAACATGAGCCGTATTCTACTAAAGTGATAAGTGAAGGATATATTTTGGAGCGATCCACCAAAATATAGTTCCCCATTTCTGTTGTACAGCTCTCACTTACAATAGGTATCTCCTTTGAGAATTGTGAGATGTTTAGCTAGTCTTACCTGTTACACTCTATAAAGTCATTGCTGTTGAGAGCAACAGAATGGTGCAATGTTTTCTCCGTGTGTGTATGTGTGTCTCTCCGCTTAGACTAACCTCCTTTGAATTTTATAATTATCATTTTTTAAAGGATGCTGCTGCTTCATGTAGTCTTGGAATCTGCAGTTCCCCTTATGTAGATGCCAGCTTTATGAATATCTTAATTTCATTTAGATCTTAGGCTGTCTTTTCCTTGTGTCACGAAAGCATAGTTACAATTTTATTAGCTTTCACCTAACATTGCATTTCGTTGTGGTGGTTGTTCTAGACCCTTTGAAGTGTTAGTATAGTTTCTCTGCTGTTGGTGGCTGGGAGAAGGAGCCTAAAAGCTCTCCAGTTTTAGCCTCTGACGGCAAGATAAAGTGCTTACATATGGCTGTCTCCTCAAAGTTATGACTTACCTTGGAGATTAGATAATCACTTTTGCTATCACTCTAGAAATTATAGAGTATTACTGAAGTTACTTCAGGGCATCTGAAGAAATGTCTTTGCTCTTTCAGTTACTAGAATAGATTTTTAAGAGCTTGAGCATAAAATGTTTGTGTGAAGCTGTCATTTTTATTGGTGAAAGAAAATGTACGCTTTTGATTAATAACCCTTTATATTTCGAATGTTCTTGTTTTAAGTAGCACATTTAAAATTCCCTTTGAAAATCTTAGACTCCTCTTAATTTTTCCCTGGCACTGTGATTAGACACCACAAGACTGGAGCAAATTGTGATGATCTATCTGGTATAATTTTCTGTAAGCATATGTTATGGGAAAAGGAGTCCTGAAATAATAAAAAAGAAATTTCAGTGTTTGATGCTTTATTCTCATCATCAACATTTAGAATGAAAACATGTATGGTCTCCCTGTGGTTGACTACATACCTTCTCTTATTCTGGGTGATTTTAAGAGGCAGTATAAAGCCGTTTAAAAAAGAGAGAGAGAGAGAGAGATTGAGGGGGGCTAGAATGAGAAGCAGTAGTTGTAAGATCTGATCTCAGTTTGCCACTAATTAGCTGTGACTTTCAGTAAGCTTCTTAGTCTCCTTTGATCATAGTTTCTTTGTCATTAAAAGGAGTGGATAAATTTAGTGGATTTGTAAGCTTTGAGCCCTGTTTGGGGTAAGAGCAGGGCAGGATGCAGTAAATGGTTATTCACCGTTCAGATGATCTCTTTGATTAGCACATGGTAATTTAACCTCTTATGTTCCCTCTGGTAACATTTTAGACAGGTGTTTTGGTTACCCACGTGGAGGAGAATGCCATTATGGCGTATATCATTCTACTGTCAGATTTTGGATGCTAGACAATTAAGATTATAATAGAAATATTCTCATTTGTATGAATGTACATCCATTCGAGTATTCTGGAAAGTGCAGTCTCTTTTCAAGATCATCGTTAAGACGTTGAACCGCTTGCTGGGTAGTTTTTAGGATTCATTTTCCAATTGAATACATTTGAAAGTACTGGATAAAACATTAACAAAGACGAATAATTCTAAAACCTAACTTTCAAAAACAGAAAAAAAGATCCATTACCTATCAAGAGAGACTTCTCAGTTCACCCTTAGAAAACTTTGTCTGGTGTTTTTTTTATCAGCAGTGACAATGGGGTGTGCTTACCTTGGGTTGGGGGCACGTTTCCTCTTCACTGCCCCCGCAGCCATGCTGCACCCCCACAGGGGTGCTCAGTTGTCATGAAAATAATCGAGCCCTGATATTTTGAGTGGCCTGCGGATTCAGCGAAGCAAGAGACACTCCCCTTATTTAATACCTAATGTTGTTTAAAGCTTTCTCAAAACTATATTATGAAGTGTACATTGATGGTGGTGATCATTGCAGTTCGATGAAGAATTCACAGCTCGACAGGAAGCTCAAGCTGAGCTTCAGAAAAGAGAAGAAAAAATCAAAGAGCTCGAAACCGAAATCCAGCAGCTTCGAACCCAGGTAATGAAACGAGCTATAGACTTTGTGTCATGTCACAGTGAGTTTGATGGGAGGAAATTATCTTGTTAGATGGTAGGAAAAATATGACCAGAAGCTGACTTTTGGCAGTTTCACATTTTCGTTGAAATAACTACAGATTTGATTTTCCAGGACAATAAATCATTTTAATGTTTGGATAAAAATACGGCATTAGTCGCTTAAACTGCCCTGAATATCCTTAATGGAATATATTACACCAGCAAAACTGTTTCTGAGATGAAATTTTCATGACGATTTGAAAAATTAGATGCAGACTATTTTCTTTTGAAAGTAACATGGAAATGCTCCTTAATTTAAATGATCCCCAAAGGTTTTTGAGATCTCTTTAAATCTCGACGACCATCATTTCAAAACCTATACACTTTACATTGACACCTACATTCTTGTGATGAAAAGATCCCATATACACTTAATCTTCATTCTACTGTCTAAACTTAAGAACTGATTAAGTACTCTCAGCACATTTTATGTTTTAAATGAATATTAAGAAATATAAGACCCGTTCTTAACACAGTGGATGCTCAGGGGTTGGTTGATTGATTAGATCTTTTGCCATCACTTTACTGAAAAGTGACTCCAAAGTCACCGGAGCACTCCAAATTATCCAACGCAGTGTGGCCTACGCTTAGCCTGTTTCACTCATTTCATTTCTTTTTGCTCAATCTTCCTTTCTCTTTTTTTACTATCATCTGACTTCTCTTTTTATATCTCTGAGAACTTAGATTCTCTTTTTGACCCCCAAATGGTGACATTGCCCAGTGTTCTGTCCCCTGCTCTTTTTCGCTGTATGTCCTCATACTAATATCCCATTCAATATTTTAATTCAAATGTCACCTTTTAGTAGGTAGCAGGCCTCCTGAGTTTCTTATATTTCCAGCTCTTGATTGTCTTTCCACATGGATGTTGAAATCAAACCAGCTTGATCTCCATTCTTATATGTTTAAATTTCACCACCAATTCTTTTGATCATGAAGCTAGAGGGGTTTTTGCCCTCCCCCTGCCCCCCACAGCCCCCAAACCTCTTCTCCCTGCCTATAGTCTCTTCCTCCTCAGATTCCTCCTTTTTGTCGGTGGCAAATGAATCCTCCTAAAACACTGCCCTGATTATTGTCAGTCGAGGCTTTAATATGTTCAGTGGCTGCCTGTTGCATTCAGGATTAAATGAAAATCCCCTTACCAGGAATTTGAAGGCCTTCTATCGTGGGCTCCCTTATCTCCCCTTTGCAGCCGAGTCTCTCACCGCTCCCCTAACCGCAGCCTCTGTGGCAGCGAAGTCACCTTTCTTCCCTTCACGTTTAAAATCCACCCTGCCCACACTCCCTTGCGCCAGCGCTTCCCAGACATTAGTTACAGAGATGCTAAGAGGTTTGCATGAGGAAAGCATTCCGTAGTCCAGTACATTTGGTACACTTGAAATTCTCCTCCTGGAGAGGCAGAACGCGCATTACCATATGAAAGGGTCTGAGATGTTCTACACTGAACAAACCTGTCCACGCCTTTCTCAGGCAGCTTTCCCAAACTCATCGAACCACAGAACCCTTTATCGCAGGCCACCTATTAACATCTCCTGGAAAATAGTGTTTTCATGGCACTGGGTGGAGAAATGCTGACTGAATGTTACTCTCTGTCAGAAGTGCCCCTCCCTTGTTCATCTGTGTCTGCAAGACACGTTCTTTATAAGGATAAGCCCAGTACAATATCCTGTGGAAAGCTTCTCCAAAAACCCCATTTAGGGATTTCCGTGGATTTCTAGATCACTTTCGTAACCATTCATGTCCTATTTGTGTGTGTGCCTGCTTTGTTTCTTCCACTGGAGCATAAACACCTTGAGGACAGTGTCTTTACTTCTTCTTCTTTTTAATCCTTACCCAAGGACATTTTTTTTTTTTTTTTTTTTATCCTCACCTGAGGATATTTTTCCATTTTTTGTACAGATAGAGCAGGAGGGAGAGAGAGGAAGGGAGAGAGAGAGAAACATCGACGTGAAGGGACACATCGAGTGGCTGTCACCCGCACGACCAACCAGGGCCGGGGACAAACTGCAACCGAGGTACGTGCCCTTAGCGGGAACCGAACCCGGGTCTCTCCGGACCGCAGGCCGACGCTCTAACTGCTGAGCCAAACTGGCCAGGGCTCAAGGACATTTTTTACGTTCATCTTCAGATAGAGTGAGAGGGAGAGAGGGAGGAAGAGACAGAGAGAGAGAGAGAGAGAAACATTAACATGAAAGAGACACTTCGACTGGTTGCCACCCACTCGACCCCAACCCGGGCCCGGGACAGACTGCAGTCGAGGTATGTGACCTTAGTGGGAACCGAACCAGGGACTCTCTAGACTGTGGGCCGACGCTCTAACCGCTGAGCCAACTGGCCGGGGCGTTGTACTTATTATTCTTATTCAATACGCTACTGCACCTAGGGCAGGGCCTTGCCATTTAATGAGTAGTTGATTATTTATTATTAAATTAACTAATCTGTAAAAGTGCAGATTCACATAGTACTTTCTAGTGCACCCCAAATTGTGTCACATATTATTCATTTACAATATTCAATTCTCAGTACTCTATTGTAGCTTAATTGAATTATTCCGTTCCTAATTATTCATTGGAGGGAATAAAAGGGCTGTTATGATTTGATTTTTAAAGGAGGGTAGTATTTCATATAAATGTTTGAGATTCTTTATTAAATTTGTTTCTCATATTAGTCACTGTGTATTGGCTATCTATTTCGGTTGGATATATGTAGATACACACACACATTCATATATGCGAATAAAATACATGGACAATGCACACTGAATAATATTAGAGACATTTTTGTGATCCAGTCTACCCATGATTGTTAATTTTTCATGATCTTGTAAATAGATCAGTCCTTTAAGTTGATTATTCCAAAAATATGTTTCAACTTAATTATTTTGTAAAGATATTTCTAAGTTTAATGAGCACAATTAAGTAGTCCAAGTAGGAAATTCATATTATTTGTGAAGAAGACTTGCTCTCCAAGTAAAAATATCACTATACCAAGAAATTTTATTGGTTTTAAACCTTTTATTCAGTTAATCTAATGTCATATCTTGATTACAAAAGATGTCTGTTCATTGGTAGGAGTTTCTTAGGAATGTTTATAATAAACAACTTCACTTTCATATTCATTTATTTTGTAAAGTGAACCATTGTGATCAGTAATTGTTTAAAGAATCATATATAAATTAATCATCAAAAAAGCAGACAGTATGGAATGCTATCTTCTCTTTCATCTGTCATCCCTCGTGTTAGAGAATGAGTTTGAAGTTACTTTCCGGTAGTAGAAATAAGTTCTACTCTCCTCATAATCCAATCCGAGTGAATTAATTCTCCTCATGGCAATGACAGCTATTCATGAAGCTGTCACTATTCACAGTCACTATAGTGAAATGAGGACTTCATTAGGTATGAGAAGAACCACATTCAAATCTTAATCACGCCCTGGCCGGTTTGGCTCAGCGGTTAGAGCGTCGGCCTGCGGTCCTGAGAGACCCGGGTTCGGTTCCCGCTAAGGGCGCGTACCTCGGTTGCAGTTTGTCCCCGGCTCTGGTCAGTCGTGCGGGTGGCCGCCACTCGATGTGTTCCTTTCACGTCGATGTTTCTCTCTCTCTCTCTCTCCCTCACTCTACCTGAACAAAAAATGGAAAAATGTCCTCGGGTGAGGATAAAAAAAAAAAAATCTTAATCACATTTCAGACTATGTGACCTTTGATTAGTCATTTAACATTTTTGCAGTTACAGTTTCCGCATCTATAAGCAGTGAGATAATGGTGAGATAAGAATGCTCTACCTATATTACAGGCTTATAATAAGAATGAAAAGAAATAATAGGTGTAAAAATGTTGATAAACTTATATTAATATGCAAATGGATGTTACTTAGTGTTAATTATTGGTATTAGAAGACAGCTGCGTCACCTGTGCTCTGAGATAGACTCTGTGTAGAGCTGGTTGTCCCCAAAGGTATCAAATCTATGACCCTTTAAGTATTGTCTCATATTCAAGCCAAGGAGTCTGACAGGCCCAAGCCATATATATTGTTTCTTCTTTACATGTAGTTATCATGAAAGGTACATTTTTTTTTCATTATTTTGGGCGAGTGTTTCATGAAATCTTTGAGGGTTCCCACTTTCCCAGCATTAGTGTGTTAGCAAAAGTGGTCAATGTCCAGAGTTCATGATGCTTTTCTTACCGATACACGTCTTTTCCTTGTACTGGGAAACTCTGAGATGTTGCTCAGTTAAATAAAGTGCATGTAATCTTAAACAAAGCACGGAGGTCCCCTGATAAGTTTTCTTTGCTGCTACATTTTACTGTGAGCATTTCAACATCGGGTCATTTATCTTTCAGGGTCATGGCCTCTCAGGTGCGGAAGGAATTCCAGGCCCTCCACCACCGCCACCTCCTCCCCCTCCTCCGCCTCCTTTACCCGGAGTGGCGGGTGGTATACCACCACCACCACCACCACCACCACCGCCTTTGTTTGGGGGACCTCCTCCCCCACCTCCCCTCGGAGGACTTCCTCCTCCCCCAGGAGCACCAATTGAACTGCCTTATGGAATGAAGCAGAAAAAAGTATATAAACCCGAGGTGTCCATGAAGAGAATCAACTGGTCAAAGGTAATACTACAACTCGGTTTTTTTTGGCTTTGCCTACCCATAGTTGATCATTACTGTGTTTGTAACTGGACTGCTGTGTATGAGGAGTGTATAATATATATATATATTTTTTAATCCTCATCCGAGGACATTTTTCCATTTTTTGTACAGACAGAGTGGGAGGGAGAGAGAGGAAGAGAGAGAGAGGGAAACATCGATGTGAAAGGGACACATCGAGTGGCTGCCACCCGCACAACCAACCAGGGCTGGGGACAAACTGCAACCGAGGTACATGCCCTTAGCGGGAACCGAACCCGGGCCTCTCCGGACCGCGGGCGGACGCTCTAACCACTGAGCCAAACCGGCCAGGGCGAGTGTATAATATTTGAGAACATGACTCCTGACTCTCTTGCTTTTCTTTGTACATTCACTGTCTTCCATTCATCTTTCCTAGTATAAAATGGCAACTCCACAGATAATTTGAAATTAACGTAGGTGGCAAAAGGAAAATCAAAGTGAAAGTGGTGTTAGAGAATAATATAGAAAAAATATATCACCAAATGAAAAAGAATGGTGATTCTTTTTACCATTGTTAACTTTAAGTACTGTAACAGTAAATGCAATCTTTTTTATTATTGAGCCTTTTTTTTTTTTTTAATCCTCACCGGAGGACATTTTTTTTCCATTTTTTGTTCAGATAGAGTGGGAAGGAGAGAGAGGAAGAGAGAGAGAGAGAAACATCAACATGAAAGGGACACATCGAGTGGCTGCCACCCGCACGACCAACCATGGCCAGGGACAAACGCCAACCGAGGTATGTGCTCTTAGTGGGAACCGAACCCGGGTCTCTCTGGACCGCAGGCCGACGCTCCAACCGCTGAGCCAAACTGGCCAGGGCTTATTGAGCCTTTTTATCTTAGTTATTTGTGTTCGTAGGGAATGACTTTTTTTTTTAGTTTTCAGATAGTTTGGGTTAAGTGTTAATACTCAGCAGTGAATAACCCCATTGTTTTTTGATATGTATGAAAGTTTTTTCTTTTGAATATTATTTTGCTTTATTATTATCAAATAATATGTCTTGTAAAAAGCTTATTATTGAGAATTACAGAGTCCCCATTCATTAGGAACTACTCTTCTAATGAAAATACAATTCCCCGGACTACCATTTGGGCAAATGACTCATCTAAGAACATACAGTGAAACGTGACAGTATCTATGTAGTAAATCGGTTTGACCAGAATAATGTTTAAATCTGTTTTCAAGTTAAGTATATACTTAATGCTTTGCTCATAAAAGTAAATGAAGTATAAATGGTTTTATTTAAAAAAATTTTTTTCTTTATTGATTTTACAGAGAGAGGAAGGGGGAGAGAGAAAGTTAGTAACATCAATGAGAGATAACATTGATTGACCACCTCCTGCATGCCCCCCACTGGGGATCGGGTCCACAACCCGGGCCTGTGCCCTGACCCGGAATCGAACTGGTGACCTCTTGGTGCGTGGGTCGATGCTCAACCACTGAGCCACACTGGCTGGGCTAAATGGTTTTAGAATGTAGATTTTTTTTTTTTTTTAATTAGGCACAATCTACCAAACTTAAGGATCCTGAAGCTGTTGGCTCAGTTATTTGTGTGTGTGTATGTAGTGCTATGTTAATGTATCGTGCAGTGTAATGGAACTTAGGTATCACAAAGCAATACGATTTCCTGGCAAATGCACGGTTCTAAACTGGGGTTTCAGTGCAGTGGCTAAGAGCACAATTTTCCGGAGCTGCACTGCCTGTGTTTAAATCCCATCTTTGCTGTTTACTGCCTTGGGCAGCCACTGGAGCTCTCCGGGGCTCAGTTTCCTCACCTTTAACACGGAGATAATAATAGATCCTTCCTCAAAGAATTATTGTGCGGATTAGATGAGATGAACTGATATTTGCGAATCACTTGAAACAGTATCAGACACACATTAGAAGGTGTGTGTGGACTATTATGGTCATTGCCTTCAACCTAGTCAGTGAACATGGAGAATTCACATTTCTGAATCTCTAGTTTCTCTATTTTTAAAAATTCAGGAGCAAGAAGAATGTATGTTAGTTGAGGAGAGGATTTACTACATTATTTTTAAGATTTCTCCAGGAGATTTAAAAAAATGTAATTTGCAGTATGGCCTATTGCTATCATGTACCTTTTCTATGTACTAATAGAATTCGGTGCCTTTCCTGATGAATATTTACTTAAAAAGTGTCATTTTGATAGATCCTAAAATTGATCTAGTAGGTAAATGAATAAAGGAGCAATCATTCGACTTTGGTGAAAGTGAGTTCTTGAAGGATTAAATATAATGTTTTAGAAAGTAACCTTTCTTATTTTTGTTTCAGATTGAACCCAGAGAATTATTGGAGAATTGTTTCTGGTTAAAGGTTAAGGAGGAGAAGTTTGAAAATCCAGATCTCTTTGCAAAATTGGCACTGAATTTTGCTACCCAGATAAAAGGTACATTTTATTTTTTTAATTATACATTCTTTATTGTGGTACTGAATTCATTGCTTTGCTAAAATTTCTACTAATGTATACACGCGTTGTCTTTTGACACTGGACAGAGTCAAACATGAGTAGATTAATACATTACCTGTATTTACCTAGCAACTAAAGTAGGTAGCTCTTTTTCCTTTTAATTTTATTTTGCATAAATGTTATTCATCTGAAAATATAGGTTTTATTTATATTGTTTAATATGTGTTATTACCCTGCTATTATAAAGTTGTCATTTTTACTGAGCAGCAGAGATGAGTTTGTTGATTTACCATGTAAGATAAAATAATGTAATGGTAATGGCTTGAAGTTCTCATGATGTTGGAATAAGATTGATGTCCTAGTGCTGAAATAGTCTTTCCTCTTACTTTTGTACTACTTATCAATTTGATTTTTTAGGAAATTTTATAGTTTTTTTCTATAAGCAGATTTTTCTGGAATACTATCAAAATCTGGTCCCTAGTAAGGATATTTTATTGGTTTGATAATAGAGCGCCTTGTTTATGATTAGCTCCTTTGTTCTTGCGCATGTGCCGCATACTTTTGGTGCTACAGAGGTAACTTCCCAATCTTATAATTAAATATTGTGGCTTGTGAATTTTTGATAGTTTATATTAACATTACTGTTTTACTCAATGTAGAATTGATGGTTTAAGCATAGGATTTTTCAGTCTGAATGAGTGTTTACAACTAAGAAATTGATGTGCTCCGTATTCCCACGCCTTTGGAATTAGCACCTTTACCATTCATTTGTCATAATGTGCCCTAGCGGGGCGGGGGTGGGGGGGGCAGAGAGAGAGAGAGAGAGAATTTATTCCTTTTTAGCCTTTCTGTCAGCTTGCACACTGGAGGTGCCTGCACTGTTGATTGTTCCTTGTAAATTAAAGTTCACACACACACACACAGAAATGTGGGGTGATTAGAGTATTCTGAAGAATTTTGACATTTTAAAAATTTTCTCTCTTTTGGTCTTTTTTTTTTTCTTTTTTGCTATGGTAGACCTTACATGTGAAGGGTTCTTCAATGACTCCAGAGAGTTCTGTTTATTATGAATACTTTTTTTAAACTGAAAAAGTAAAATATGCTTATATTAAGGTATTCATATACTTTAAAAAAGAAAGAAAGGAAGAAAATATACATGGTGCATATATCCCTTCAATCCCAGATGAACAGCTTCTTCCCTGAGAAATCCACTCTTAGCTAATTTCTCACATTGCCTATGAAGCACAAGTGTATGTGTGTATGTGTGTGCGTATCTTTATGTCTGTCTGTCTATCTATCTATCTAATTTTGTTTACTTGTTTGTTTTATTTCCTGCTGTTTTAATTTTATGTCCTTGGTTATTATCCATAATAGCTTATGTTTATCTCTTGTGTTCTTTTTATATACCGCATAGAATTCTGTGCTGTGGGCCTATTTGAGTTGATTTCAGCAGTCCCCTAGGAGTGGACATTTAGGTTAGTTCCAGTCTCACTGTTTCAGGCAATGCTTCAGCGAACAGGTACCTAAATACACCTCTGTGCACATGGGAGCTAGCTGTAGGATAAAGTCTAGAAGCAAAATTCCTGGATAAAATGCTGTGTACATTTATAATTTTGATGGCTATTACCAAATTGCCTTCCAGAGAGTTTGTGTCCATTTCTAGTGCCACCTAAAACATGGGAGTATCTGTTTCCCACAACCTTTGCCCATCACACAGGGGAAAAGGGTAAACCACGCATCTTATAATTTTTACTTCTTAAATTAGGAGTGACGTTGAGCAGCTTTTCTTCTGTTTTCATTGGCAAGTGTAATTTCTTCTTTTCCTCGTGAACTCTTCCCTCCAGTTCTTTGCACATTCTGTATTGAGCAGTTCCTATTTTACTTATTGATGTACTTGTATTGAGTCCCACAAGAATCATAGGTTTCATAAAATTTTAGCATTAGTCTAGACCTTAGAAGTGACTCTTTATTTTACCAATGAAGAAAATGAAGTTTGAAACATAGAGGTAACTGGAAAACCCATTGGAGGGTTCCTAAACGTAGTGTGGCAGAGTGGGGGAAGCCAGAGGAGATGGAGTTACACACATTTGCATTCCAGCTGTGATACCTGTAACCGCCGAGACTGAATTTTCTCATCCATAAAACAAGTCGACTAATGTTTACCTAGTAGTGTTGTGAGAATTAAATAAGGTTATACATTTAAAGCCCCCAGCACAGTGCTTAGCTTAGCAGGCACTCAATAAATATTAATTCCCTTTCATTTAACGTGTGTGTGTGTGTGTGTGTATGTGTGTTTTGTTTTAGTAATTGACACTTAATACAACTGTTAATTCAGCAAGAGAATTTCCTGCTCCTAGAGCAGCAGTCCAGAGAGCCAGTCAGTTACAGTGGAAGCGGTTCTTGCTGTGACTGGTAAAATCTCATCAAACCGAAGTACAACTAAACAAAAATCATATAAAGACTGCCATGCACTCACTACTGAGAATACTGTATTTCCATTCCTCTTCACTCAGAGTCTGAACGTTTGAAGCAATGCTACGACTAGTTCTTTCCTAATCTTGAGTATTTGAGTACAAATCAGGCACACCTGTCAGTGCCATCACTTTTACTAAGATTTATTTCTGAAGGGACATTTAAGGGAATAATTAAGCATCATAGCGTATTCCCGACAAGTATAATATGGCCAAAACACATTTTCCTGATACAGAAGTGCCATTTATTTTAATAACACTTAATAACTATTGATTGATCTTCCTGTAATAGCTGAAGTTCCTTTTCATTCGCGGGGCCTTGATTTATAATTTGGTCAGTAGGTGGCGGGATCAGTAAGAAATCAGCAGGAGGCCCTGGCTCCAGTGACCCACACTGCCCTGCTGTCCCTCTCTCCAGGGCATCGCTCTCTTCCCTGTTCAGCTGCAGTCACGAAGGAGCCACACACTCATGGTTCCTCAGACCTGTTTCCAAAGCGCTCAGACCCACTATTCTAAAACCTCTGAGAATTTCCTCCTCCTGCAAGGGGTTTGGAGAGGTCATGTCTCCTGTTTCCTAAATGCATTGTAAAGCATTACTGGTCTGGGTTTGAAGAGAATGTTTAATTTAGGTATTTAAAGTTGCTTTGGATTGCTAAATAGAAGTTCTAAAATACGCTGGTTCCAATAACTATAATATTTAAGTGTATAAATATTTAATATAGGAAAGTACCATTAAATTAGACTTTCGATTTGAATTACTTAGAGTTAGAGAGACATTTATTTTTAATTTTCTATTATAAACCAAATTATTTTTATTTTAAGAGAGAATGGATCTCTCATTTTATTCAATTTCTATTCGTAGAGTCTGCACTATGTGCAGGGTACTATCTAAGTGGGAGGTAGAACCCTGGCTGGTTTGGCTCAGCGGTTAGAGTGTTGGCCTGCGGACCAGAGAGTCCCAGGTTCGGTTCCCACTAAGGGCACGTACCTTGGTTGCAGTTTGTCCCTGGCCCCAGTTGGGGTCGTGTGGGTGGCGACCAGTCACGTGTCTCTCACATTGATGTTTCTCTCTCTCTCTCCCTTCCTCTCTCTCTCTCCCTTCCTCTCTCTCTCTCCCTTCCTCTCTCTCTCTCTCCCTTCCTCTCTCCTCCTACTCTGTCTGAAGATAAATGCAAAAATGTCCTTGGGTGAGGATTAAATAAATAAATAAATAAATAAATAGATAGGGAGGAGAGAAAAGAGTAAGGCTTGTTCCTGTACCTGGCAACTCATCGCCTAGTGAGGGGGAGAGGAAGAGGGGCGCTGCATTTAATCAAGTTCTATTAAATGTCAACATAGATTTTTTTTTAAAGCCAGAGCAGCACAATATGGAAATAGTTATTTTTCCTTGGGGGAATTGGAGAGCGCAGAGGTGGTATCATGTGAGTTGGGCCTTGATGTTTAAGTGGGATTTCAATAGGGGAAGAAGGAAAGAGGGCATTCTAGGCAAAGAACACCATTAGCAAAGCGATGTGGGGAAAGGTGAAGCCCATACTGTGTTCAAAGCACAGCCTGTTGGGTTGAGACTTGGGGGTGAAGGCAGTAAAGTGGACTTCATATTGAGGAAATGGGGTTTAGATTTTTTTAAGCATTAGGGGCCCAAATTTTTTAAAAAATATGTTATTGTTTATTTTTTAGAGAGGAAGGGAGAGACAGAAACATCGATGTGAGAAACATTAATCAGCTGCCTCCCGCACGCCCCCTACTGGGGATCGAGTCCAGAAACCCCGGCATGTGCCCTGACCGGGAATCGAACCAGGACCTCTCAGTCCATGGGATGATGCTTAATATACTGAGCCACACCGGCCGGGTAAGGACCCAGTAATTTGATGATTAATAATTGAGCAGGTGTTTGGCACACAGACAGGTGATGGGAATTCACAGATCGATGAAGGAACATTGATTGTGAATAAATATCAGTAGGCTAGGCAAGATACGATGATAATCCAACCAGTATGTACTCTTAATCTCTAATGTGTGTTCTAGTTCCCAAATCCTATGTTCCCAAGCTTATAATATTTAGGTGGTTCTTACAAGCCATAATGATGCTGTATGACAAAGTTTATCTCAAAATGATCTATGGATTAGTGAAAAAAATTTATATATCTATATATATTAGAGACAGCTAGAAAAGACCCCATTAATACTTTTGAATATACACCATATATGCAACCATTGAAATTTGTATTTGTGTTCTGGTTTTATTATTTGATTTGATGATATTTGGTGACATAGAAACATCAAGGCTATAATAATAGTGTCATTTTCCTTAAAAATTTATAGTAATCATAGCTAATAGTGATATTATATAAGAATTAACATAATGATGGCTAATATTAACTAAACTTGAAATAAGAATAAAATATGTAGGTTATAACTGCTAATTCTAATTAGAATTTCTAGGGTTCTCTAGAGGCCTCAGGAAGAACAAAGATTGTGTGGAAGTTATAAGCAATTTCTTGGTTTTAA